TTTTTTTTTTTTTTTTTTTTTTTTTTTTTTTTTTTTTAATGTGAGCCAGGATGGTGGGTCTGGGTGACATCTTTTAGGTGAAGCTGTTTTTTTCTTTTTTTTTTTTTTCCTTTTCCCCCTAGCAAAAATGCTGACGAGTTAATTTAACCACTTTTCAAATTAATGCTGGTTTCCCTGAATAGTTTCAGTTGTGAGAGAGAAGCTTAAAAACTCGCTAAAAATGTAAAAATATCTGATACAAGTTTTAGACGCACAATGAGGCTTTATGTTAAAGTATGCTTCCATTTTATTTTATTTTTTATTTTTTTAAATTTGTTGCAACATCTTGGAAACGAATGCTTTTGAGCCACGTTTTTTTTTTTTTTCGAAACAAAATGTTTTTCCTTTGACATTTCAGTCCCCTGCATTTGTAAATCTATTTTTGAGTAGACCTCAAGCTTAAAAAAATGATGTCCTTGATGGAAGCCCAAAATAGGTGACTCAGCTGAGAACGGGAACATCCTGAGGACTTCAGAGCAAGCCCAGTCCATTCAAAAAGCCATAAGTAGGGTTTTGGGGTTTGTTTTTTTTTTTTTTTTCATGCTCTTTTATTGCTTTTCCATCCCCTTGGCCTCAGAAGGGCTCAGACTCTTGTCCTGCACTGCTAACCGGTCCCTTGGTCACCCGCAGAGAGGAATCACAGCGCAGGTAGCTCTTGCTGATGGTCACAGGTTTGTAGGTAGAGGTCAGACTGTCCTATCCTTGAAAACAGGCATTAGTCAAGGGTGGGGGAAGATCCTGGTTGCTGACGGTCACAGATCTGTAGGTAGTGGGACAGGGAGAGGCAGAGTTCTTCCTTCGCCATCAATATTACTGTGCCGTGACTCTTTCTTGCGTTTACTTTCATGCCCACCTTCAGTGCGATCCCTATGTGAAGATTTCAGTGGGAAAGAAATCCATTAATGACCAAGAAAATTACATCCCTTGTACGCTGGAGCCCGTCTTTGGAAAGTAAGTTTTGGTTCTATCTGGATTCCATGGGAGGTTTTAATGTCATATTGAGGGAATAGGGCTGGGCCACCCTACATTCCCATGCCACCCTACATTCAAGGCCAGGTTGGACGGGGCTCAGAGCAACCTGATCTAGTTGAAGATGTCCCTGCTCATGGCAGTGGGGTTGGACTAGATGACCTGCAAAGGTCCCTGCCAGCCCAAACCGTGCTATGATTCCCTTGGTGTGCTCTCAGCTCATGTCCGACCTTGCTGAAGTGAGTCTGGCCTTGCCTGGACCACCTGGACCACCACTGCCCACCATGGCTCATGCTCATCTTCTCTCTGGGACTTGTGAGCTGTGGAGCATGGACTGGGCCTGCTCCATCATCGATGGGGACATCGGGAGGGTTGTTTAGATCAGAGATTCTCCTGTGGAGGCATCTGCCTCATCCCGCTGATGGTAGAGAGAGTCTGGGGAAACTCTGCTCCTCATTTAGGCACTTTGGTTAAATGTATGAAGAGAAGACATGATGAATGGAGAACTGTTTGATTAAGCTGTGGCATGGGATGCCTCAAAATCAGATGCTCCGCAAAAGAATTATCTATATAAACGTGATACGGACTGGTTGTGTGGTTTGCCTCGCAGTAGGGCCACAAACTTGTGATAAAAGGCAAAAGAAAATGTTGTTTTCAGAAAAGTGTTTTCGTCAAAGCTGGAAAGCACCACAGGGACCGGGCAAAGGGAGGGAGACGGAGGAAAACCTGGTGCTGAGGCTCCACGTGTCAATAGGGCTTTGGTCTCCCATCAGATGTAGGGGGTTATGCTTCAGCCCAAATGGGCAAGCTCTGCTCACGTGATGTCCAGAAGGTTTTCTTAGGCTCTCACCAGCTCAGGCTGTCAGTGCCATGGTACCTTCCCAACAAAGCAAGATGGAGAGGAAGATACACCCTCTGCAAGGATGGAGGAAGGAGAGGGGTCGCGAGGGTGACACTGGTGAGGCCTCGGAGGAGGGTGTGCATCAGAGGAGCCCTTCCCTCCTCCTCTGCCGGAGGGAGAGGCCAGCTCTGCCTGTCCTACGCGGTAGCCCCCCATCGAGCACGAGGGAGCCCTGGTCCCCGGTGGGCCAGGACCTACTGCCCTGTTGCAGAGCCCACAGCCAGACCGGGGTGAGCTCTGCTAGGCTGAGCAAGTCCTCCTTTGCCAAGCCTGGCTCCCAGCCAGAGCCCGTCTAGACAGCCTGCTGCACCTCCCACCCGGTCTTTAAAGCAAGATGTAAAACCGAGGTCCTGGCTGCTGGCGGCTGTTAAACCTCCCGTTTCACGAGCTGTTCCCTGGGCGGCTGGCTGCCCTCCAGCTTTAGCTAATTACTTTCTGCTGACCCCAGTTCCTCCTGCACTCTTAATTGGTGGCATAATCACTCACTTCCCCTCCTTAAAGGCTGCAGCGGGGTGGGTGCTGGCGGTGGGAATGGGCATCGTGTTTCTCCCCAGTGCTGCCTGCTGTTCAGCAGCAGGTGGAGGGGCTCCTGGTAGGGCTGGGCCAGACCCGTACTGTCCGGCTCACCCACCCGTACCACCTCCACGTGCTGGCATCCACGAGCACCAGCTCGGTCTGGACCGGGGTGTTGTGTTTTGGTAGGGTCTTGGTGCTTTGTCTCTTGCTGCCCTTGATTTGAGGAGGGAGAGGAAGGTTTTCTCTTGCTCTATTTTATGCCAGTATGTGGATTGTGGTGTAACGACGGCAGAGCAGATGGCACAGAAGAAAGGTGCTTAGGATTGGGAGGAGTGGACAAGGAGGCTTTGAGGGTCAGTCTCCGACCACAGGCTTGGCTCAAGCAGGCTTGATTCCTGTTTTAGACATTTGCTCTTTGGGCTCAAAGACCAGATGGTTTTCCAAAGCTGTCATTTCTCCCCCTTCCAAATTCCATGGCAGTGATGATTCCTGACTCTCACCTGCTGCTTTTTTTCCCTGGATATTGCAGTGACCACCATCATGTCCAGTCAGCAGATGGAGAAACTAAGCAGGGGAAAAGTTTGTTTGTGAATAATTCAACCAGGCAAAAGTAAACCCAAGGCAGGCTGGCTTAGCTGCATATCCACAAGCTAAGCCAGGACAACACAGCACAGGTAGCGCTGGACCAGCATGACAGAGATGTGCAGTGGGTGTACGGCCCTTCCCAGCACTGGGGGGTTGAGAGGGTGTGTGGGTCTGTTCCCCGTGGGGCTCTCAGCGGCGTGAACCTCCATCTCATGGGTGTTTCTCGGCTTCCCTTGCGCAGGATGTTCGAGCTGAGCTGCACTCTGCCCCTGGAGAAGGACTTGAAGGTCACGCTCTACGACTACGACCTCCTGTCGAAGGATGAGAAGATTGGGGAGACCGTCATAGACCTGGAGAACCGGTTCCTGTCAAAATACGGGGCGCGCTGCGGCCTCCCCCAAACCTACTGCGTGTGCGTACCTCTGCGGGCTCGGGCAGTGGGTCTCCAGCTGCCAGGGCTGTGAGGTGCACAGCTGGCCATGGGCACCAGGGCTGTGATGTCTCAGCCCAGGGGCCTGCTGTCCCAGGGCTGTCCCGGGGGGACCTGAGCGGTGCTGTACTTCACCCCAGGGATATGTCTTCAGACAGATTCGCACCAGGGGAGCCCCTCGTTTGAGGAACTTCCCTGAGCCCTGGTGCTGCCCCATGAAATGATTCAGATAACAGAAATGTCCTTGGGGACATCCTGTTACATCCCTGATGCCTCTTGGGCTCACCGTGGTGAAGACATCCCCCATGCCCAGGGCCAGCTGGAAGGTGACGTGGTGGGTCTGGGGGGGGCGCTATGAGGGCACCCCAGCCCTGCAGGTGGGGGCTGAGTGGGCTGTGGGACGTGCAGGACCTTCCTCAGACCAGCCGGCTTCTGTGCAACGCTGCTGCTGCCCCGTGCTGAGGCTGGAAGTTGTTTTCTCATGTGTCTGGTTTTCCGCTCGTTTGGTTTCAGCTCTGGACCCAACCAATGGCGAGACCAGCTCCGTCCTTCCCAGCTGCTTCACCTCTTCTCCCTGCAGCACAACTACAAGGCTCCCACCTACAAGTCTGACCGGGTCATCTTCAGGGAGCAAGAGTACGTCCTCTCTGAACTGGGTAAGGTGACAGGCTGCTCCGGGGTTCCAAGCGGCTTTCCTTCTCCCGGAGCACGAGATGGAGCTGGAGGTCATGGACATATCCCAGTGGGGGTTATCACGGGGCCAAGACTGGGTGATGGGCACGTCCCCAACCTCCTCACCTTGCTGCCCACATTGGCTCTGCACCTCTCCTAAGCCTGGCTCTGCCCCAAAGGCTGCAGGTTAACCTCGGCCTTGAGCGAGCGCCCTTTGCTGCTTGCAGGCTGGGCGCAGCACAGTCCATCGCAGCCAGAGAGGCTCCAGCCTGACCTGCCAGCTGCTCCTTGGGCTGGAGGAGGGAGTTGTGCCGGTTACATCGCTGCGTTTCGGGGCTGGAGTCACTAGAGGGAGACAATATCATGCACACAGAGCCCAGCATCTCGCACCGCAGCTCCCGCCTCAGGGTGCTCCAGCTGGAAGTGCAAAATCAGCCTCTGCCAGCAAAGAGAAAATGTCACTGAATGCTGGAGGAGGCATTTTCTTGTTTGCGCAAAAAGATCCCAGCGCTGACACCTGCAATAGCCTGGGCATCAACTTGCGCCTGTCTAACTGGCATCCTTGGGGCAGAAGTGTGCCTGTTAGAGAAAACTCTGCCTTAAAGCATGGAAAAGGCGTTTTGGCCCAGGGAGGAGCTGAAACCCCACTGTTCATGGCCCAGGAGCTGCAGTGTGACTTTATTAAGGCCACTAGAGCATTGCAGAGTCACCAAGGAGGACTTGGCCTGCAGGGGCCCGAGTCAAGGCACAACCCAGGGCTGATCCTTCTCCCTGCTCTTGGGAATCAAGGCACAAATTCATGGTTTTCCCCTTAGGAGGAGGAGTGGGGAAGCAATGGCTCCTTTGCAGCCTCTTGTTATATGAAAGGTTTTCAGCAAGGGCTGGAAAGGTGTTAAACTGAGCGGGGTCTTCCCCCCTCTCCCAGCCCCTGCCTTTCACCTTCCTCTGCTTTAATGGCAATCAGTTCAAAAAACAGAACAAAGTCTGATGCTTGACCTCGAGGAGATCTGGAAACCAGCTGTGTTCGCAGAGCAATGTCAGATCTGAACCTGGCGGTATAAAGTGAAGCTATTAAACACGAGAGCATGGGTTTTACAAGCACTGCACCCGGACCATTATTCCATAACCCCCACATTTGTTGTTTTCTGAGAGGGGCTTTTTCTTTTTCCTGTACATACACACACACACACACACACACACACACACACGCCAGGTTTCCACTGCTTGGGAAATAGCCCATATGTCTGAAGTTAACCACTTCAAGATATTGCCAAGAAAGGAGCTGGGATATATCACCTGAAAGTTGCAGAGCTGTAATAATATTTATGGAGCGCATTTCATTTCAAAGGTCCTCGAAGGTGCATGGCCTTGAAACGCTGTGGCTGAAAGGCAACTGTCCCGGGGGGGGTGTCCTCTGCCAGCCCTGGCGTGGCACGAGGGATGGGGCGGCAGGAGCAGGCTCAGCCAAGGCCACACCTGGGTGGATGTAACGAGGATCCTCGGTGCTGGGGCAGAGAAGGCAGAAATGTCCGTTACTGATCGGCCTTGTTTGACCTATTTGCGGAGGGATTAGGGTCTGGTGTGGAGCAGGTGAGGAGGTGGAGGTGGTCTCATGTCTGCTCACGGCTGGCTCGGTGATCGCTGCGTGCTGGCCTGTTCTGATGAAAGACCACAAATCCCCCAGTGGGAGCAGTGAGGACCAGAGCAGGGACTGGGAGCAGCCACGGAGCTGTGCTGGTGGTGTCCGCGTGTCCCTCCTCTCCCTCTCATTTCTGGCTTTCACCCCGACCCCAGCAGAGAAGAAGTGGGACCCTGCAGAAAGCTCATTCCCACTGCACTCCCCTCTGCCCAGCTGCAGATCCCGGATGGTTTTAAATGATGGGATTTAAACAATATCCATCACATGAGGGCTTGAAAATGGCAGCAGAGCAGACTCTTTAATCTCCTCTCCCTGCAGAGCTTTGATCACACATTAGATAACCCTTTGCTGGGGTGGGAACGGCAGCGGAGCAGCAGCATGGGCTAGAGGGCTGCTGGGGACCGTGCAGCCCCAACCACTGTGGTTTTAGGGGGCCTGAACCCTTGAGCAGGATTAAAGACTGGACTCTCCTTTCCAGTGCTTCAACACGGTCCTTGTGGTGTTTCACCTGCTGTGATTTGGGGAGGGGGGGACTCACACAAGACTCCCCGCAGGTCCCTGTCCCATTGCAGGATGGTTTGCCCACAGGTCCCACTGGGAACGGGTCACCATGTGCCCCAGGGGCTTTGTGACCATGATGGATTTGCAAAGTGTTGCTCCTCCTGCTCGCTCCTGGCTGCAGTGGTGGGCTGGGGCTTGCTCCCACCGGGCGGTCAGGGTCCGGCCCCGCACAGCCATGGCCCGGTGTAACGCTGCTCTACTTTTCTGCTCTGTGGCAGAGGATGGAAAACCCCTCAACCCCCACCTGGGGCCGGTGGAGGAGCGTCTCGCCTTGTACGCCCTGCGGAGACAGGGGCTGGTGCCGGAGCACGTGGAGACGAGGCCGCTGTACAGCCCTCTGCAGCCAGACATCGAGCAGGTGGGTGTGTGCCGTGTCCGGGACAAGGCCACGAGCATCATCTCCTTTGGGGGCAATGCTGACCCGGGTGGCTGGCTCTTCTGCTGATCGAGGATGCCAGTTACACTCAGACACCAGAGTAAAAAGAGCAGGCTTATTTTACTGTTAATAATGAAAGAATATAACTAACTAATACAGAAAATAAGTGGTAAGAAAAATACTTGTTACACTTACTTATTCCTACACACAAACAAGGCAATGCACCTAATCGTTACTACAGTGATTAAGAAAGATCCCTCACCACTTGCATCTGTAACCATCACCCAGCCCCGGCCGCAGCGGGGATTTGGAGAACCTTTCCCTGCAAGTGGGGAGTCCTACACGGTGTGTCCATCCATAGCTGAGGCACCCAGAGTCGCTGTGAGTGACTTAAATACCCCCAAATCCGCAAAACAGAACAGCTGGCACCTTTGTTTTGAGCGGACGCGTCTGGTTTCATCCTCCTGTTGGATTCCACCCAGAGCCTGGCCAGGGCTTGGGGGGAGACCCAAGGGAGGGTCTAACAAGGTGAACACTTGGGTGCTTGGCCTTGGACGAGGCTGAGCGAGGGCAGTTGGATATATTCTCGCAGCATTCCATCCTTAGTGCTGATTAGATTCCCTCTGAGCTGCATCTTCCACTAGTGAGCGTGCGTATTTGGCTAACGATCAGATACCAATAGCTAACGCTAACGGTACTACAGATTTTACTAATTAACAGATACTACTAATGGATAATGTTGAGTTGTGAGGTTCATCTAGAGGTCAGCCTTGTTTCAGGATCTATTATTCAGGCCCCGGCACTGCCCTGGCTGGCTGTGGAGCTGCACCGGGGACACCTGCCCTGGGAGAGGGGCTTTTCCCAGGGCGGGGAGTCAGCAGAGCACCGACTGTCAGACTCAGCAGCTGACTTGCCTGGGGAGATCAATTCCAGCCTCTTGTGTTCATTTTTCATCAGCATTTGCTCATCATTTTAAAAAAAAATTTAAATTATTTTTGTGAGAAAGCCACTCCTGATCTGAAAGTCTTAATGCAGAATTCTTCTGTAACGGTAACGGCACCGCAGGCTCCTCTGGCAACGCAGCAGATGATTTCTGCAGCATGAACCCGCCCTCGGAGGTGCAAAGTGTTAGTGCTGCTGCAGACTGGATGTTTTTAAGCCAAATGAAAACTAAACGGGCTTCCACCCAAAACCAATCAAAATCCAGGTATCTGTACTTAGCCTAACCCCTTCTCTTTGATTAACACATATGTGTGCTTTATGCATTTGGATCAAAACCCGCCGCTTCCTGAAGAACAAGATGATTAATTATCGTCTGTCATACATGTTCCAGTTGCATTGCAAAGGCGGTTTCAGGAGACCGGCTCTGCAGCTGGTGTAAACGTGTGCGGCTCCTGCTCGGCACCACTTCAGCCCTTTCCCCTCCGTGGATCATTTTTAAGCAGACCACCTCCCCAGCCATGGGAGAGGAGAGTTGTGGCAGAAGTAAATGCACTGACAATTGCTCCAGCACCTTTTTTTTGGTGTTAATTCACCCAATGGAAAGGACAATTAGAGGCAGGAGGTGGCTGCTATCAGTTGACAAGTGGGTCTGTGCTGTTCTCACAAGTGTCACGGTCTTGGACCAGCCGTGGAGACTCGGGAAGGTGCTTCCTCCGTGACATGGGCTTGGCGGAGGAATTGGGGTCTGCCCCGCGCTGGTGCTTCTAGCCAAGAGTATCCGTGGGGGTGATGCTGGGGCCGGGGGATTAACCCGTGTGACGCAGCACGTGTCGCACTGGGGGCAGTTCCCAAAAGCGCGGCTTTGCCCTGCGCCAGAGCCCCAGCGCACCCTGGCTCTGTCGGGCTGTGTGTAGTGAGCTAAAAGCCAGGTCGGGCTTTTAAAGTTTTCTGCTGAAATGGAAGATTTTGCTTGCCAAAAAGCTAGCAAACCACAATCCCCTCTGTGACAGGCTGATTGTCAAAGGATGGCTTTTTCTTTTTCTTTTTTTTTTTTTTCCTTCAACCCTTGAGACTGCACAGTAAAATATTTTATTGGCACCCATTGGTGTTTTACAGGAAAAGAGACCACCTAAAAAACACCCCCCTGAGATTTGAGCTGCGTTTCTGCTGCTCCTGGAAGGTTTTTGTGAAAGGGGAATTAGACTCCTCTCTCCTCACTCCATCCTCCACTCCCATGGTCTGAAACCCATAAACCAGCTCTCCAGCTGGTGACAGCTAGTGGCACCAAGGAAAACAAGAGAGCTGCCTGCTTCTCCAGCACCTCCACGGACCTAGTCTTTAGTCTGTGCCTATGTGAAGATAGCGTGAGAGTTAAAGCCAGAGTGCACCTTCAGCTTATCCAGACCAACCACTTAAATACTGCAAGGCATTAACATATACCCAGCTATCACTAAAATAATTTTAGTATATTACTTAATGACACTTTTCCATTAAGGAAATCTTAGTTTTCAACTCAGGAACACTGGAGCACTTGATATTTTCTCTCTCCACCGCTGGGTCTTACTGAGGAGGTGAAGGTAACCCAGTCAGGCTCACGTGTCTTTCTTTCCATTCAGGGAAAGCTACAGATGTGGGTGGATCTATTCCCGAAATCTCTGGGCCAGCCTGGCCCCCCTTTCAACATCACGCCACGCAAAGCCAAGAGGTGACTTGTTTTTCATTTCCTACTCGGTGCGGTGCTGGTTCCAGCATCTTCTGTCTGTGAGGGGAGAGGAGAGGGCTTGGAGATGTCAGATGGGGAGGGGTTCACCTGCCCAGCTGAGAAACTGTGTGGGCTCGTCTTCAGAGAAAGATGACTCACATCTTAGCTCCTTCAGCTGAACAGCTGTGTAGCACAATCAGCCCCACCAGGTGGGCCCGGACCAAGATTTCCACCCTCTCATGTCGCTTGTGCTCCTGGGGCTGTCCAGGTTCTTCTTGCGCTGCATCATCTGGAACACCAAGGACGTCATCCTCGACGACCTCAGCATCACTGGGGAGAAGATGAGTGACATCTACGTCAAAGGGTAAGCCACCCCGCTCCTGCGTCCCCCGGGTACCGTGGGCCAAAGGCGCAAGGGCAGCAGGGAAGGAGTTAACACGGCCCTTGCTGTGGTAGAACCCCACGGGGGTGAAGGGGCCCTTCGTGCTTCTCCAGCGACGGATCCAGCTCCTTGGCAGACACGTCTCTGCTAGGCTCATCACTGCTGCGCGATGTCAAGTTTTTCTTTGCATCTCTTGGCTGTTTACACGACAATATTTACATTTAGAGAGATAAGATGTGGGGAAGCAGCCCGGCCACTGGAGACAGGGGCACGTAGTCTCCATTTCCACTGCCAGCTCCTTCCCAGTGCCTCTCCCAGGACAACGGTGGGCTTGTTCCAAATACATAGGTTGGCTTGTTTGAATAGCTGCTTTTTTTTTTTTCTTTTTTTTTTTTTTTTTTTTAATTCCCATTTTTTCCTTGAAGCACTCAAAAATGTGGCAACCAGCAGTAACTCCTCTGGCACATTCCCTTCTCTGCCTGACTCCATTTATGTTTTATCTTGTGTAAAATGGTGCAATCCCAGCCAAGGGACTTACTTATTTTGTGCGTTCTTCGGATTTATGGACAGGAAGAGGTAGGATTTTGAAACAGACTGTAAATCCCTTTTTTACAATCCCAATTTTCCTCCTGTAAATCCAGAATGCGTGCTGCTTACCTGGTATTCACATCAAGTGCATTGTTATCAGCTCCAGCTAAGCTGCTCTGGGCACTCTGGGGCTCTGAAATCGTGCTTGCAAGGTGTTACCGGGAAGGCGAGAGCATCCAGTGCTTGCTGACATCCCTCGCCTGGCTTTCAGCATCCCCAATGACCAAGCAAACCTCGCAGTGCTGTAAATGAGTTAAAAATCTTGCTCAACTTCCTCGTCTCCCCCCCTCCGAAATGCCTGCATCACTAGCATCTCTGGGTAAGGCCTGACTAATCCTACTGGGAGGAGACACGGGGTCCTTCTTGTGCTGAAGCATCTGCCCTACAGACCGGAGCCCCAGTGGGCCAAGGGCCTGTGGTGGGGACCACTCCTTCCCTCCACTGCTACCTCCCGAGCAGGGGGGAGCCTCCTTTAGGGTGAGCTTTTACCTGTGGCTTTCCTTCAGAAGATCTCACAGCGCTTCTCCGAGGAGGCTGTTGCCAGTTTATTCTCCATTTTAGCCATTAACCAAGGCCAGGGCTGGAATCTCAGTCTCCTGGACGTTATCTTCTACATAATATGTAAGTTATTGTTGAGTCAGTTGAGGCAGGTAAACGAAATAGGAGCTTTTCTGTTATGCCTGAGGCAGTTGCCATCTATTTTCTTTAATTTAATCAGTTATTATTGATCATCTTACAACAGCACGAAGAAGTCTCAACCCAGTCGAGGCTGTGCAAGGCTGAGTGCGGAGAGCCCTCCCCTTCCTGAAGACTTGTGCTGTAGGCAGGCAAAAGAGTGAAGCGTAGGGAAATAATTTTCTTTAGGAACTGAAGATTTTTTTTTAATTTTTTTGAGCTAACAGGCCTCTCTATCACTGTCATAGATGAAGGGTATTTTTGTATTGTTTTCATAACGAAATTTTCCAATAAAAAATGTTACGACACCAAGAGGATGGACCAACACCGACCAAGGTCACACGGGAGGTGGGAGGTTTTCATTCGTTATCTTGCAAGCTTTTCAAGATATTTCAAGGTAAAACCAGTGCTTTGAGCCAATTGGACTAGAAGTTTCCAGAGTCCCCATCCAACCAACCACCACTACTAAGGTTTATGTGCTATTAGGTCACATCTTTTATACCCCACCTTCACCCCTTTTGGGTTCCTAAATAAAAGGGTGGCCTGGCCCCTCCTTTGCTCGTGCTGAGCGAAGAGGGAGGCGTGCACGTTTTGAGAACAAAGTTGCCTCTTGGATTTAAGAACCCAGCTTGGCCTTTGGGTACTGCACTTACCTTAAGAGGCATGGATCGGAAAAATACTGAACGTATTAACGGACTAAAAACCCACTCAGTCCTGTTAAGTGCAAACCCCTTACGTATAGCTCAGAAAATACCCCACCTGAAAATTACTGGAGTCTGGGGAGGTGTGTTGGGAAGGTATCAGGATGTGTTTGCCCAGATTCCGTACTCTCACATGGACGTCTGCTGGTGGCCCTGCTCAGGGGCAGGAGGATGAGCCTTTGGTTGGTCACCACGGCCATTCCTACGTTACGTTTTTAATTCTGAGGCACCGTGACACGAATGCTTTTGATTTCTGGCATCTCTTTTCCTGCAGCGGGGAGGGTGCAGCAAATCCTGCAAGAAAACACCCCCCCCCCCCCCCCCCCCC